CCGCGCTCGGCCGCGCGTGCGCGCCGGGGTGGGGCCGGGGCAGAGGGGTGTTTGAGGGGGGAGAGGGGGGGGGGGGGGGGAGGGGGGGGGGGAGGGGAACCAGCGGTCTGCTGCCCCGCGCCTCGTGAAAGACTCGGACCGGCTTTCCGTCGGCGTCCACCTCGGGCTCGGCAACCTCCTCGACCTCGCCGGGGGGGGCCGGGGCGGCCTCATCCGCCGCCGCCGCCGCCGCCGCCTTGGGCTCCTTCTTCTTCTTCGGGGCCGGAGCCCCGCCCGCCGCCGCAAGGGCGGCGGCTGCGGCCGCCGCCTTCTTCTTTTTGGCGGCCGCCGCGTCGTCGCCACCGAGGGCTCCCTTGCCGTCGCTGGCGGCGAGCTTCTTGGCCTTCCTTTCCGCCGCCGCCTCCTTCTCCTTCTTGAGCCGCTCGCGCTCCTCCCGCTGTGCCTGCAGAGCACTCCGCTCGGCGATGGCGGCTGCATGCACCGAGGAGTCGGCAGACCGCGCCTTCATGCCGGCGGCGCCTCCTCCGCCCTGGCCCTCCTTGGCGGCCTTCTCGGCGTTCTTTTGCCGCGCCATGGCGGACTTTTGAGCGTTACCGCCACCCATGGTTGTAGTGGAGAGGCTGGAGAGGCGGCGTGGAGAGGCCGGCCGCGTCGCCGGCAGATGTTTTTGGAATCCGTAAAAGAAGAAATCAGGTGCGCCGGGCCCCCCCCTGCGCGCCTCTCCGAGGCGCTGCGCAGATGGTCTACGAATCATAGAGGCTCAAGTGACAAGTCCACACACACACACGCGGGGGACACGGGGAGGCCGGCTTTCCCCGTGCCGGTTCTCCCCAACCAACCCCGCCGGCAGCGCGAGCTGCCGGCCACATTGAGCGGTTCGTCCGCGTCGCGCACTCGTCCCAACCGGGGGCCGCAGACTGGTTCTGCGCGCCAACGGCTGGTGACGCTGTGTTGCCCTTGAGCTAGTCCTTCCCCGGTCGCCTAGCCTCTGCGCTGTCTGGCGGACGCCTGTATGCCATGCGCGCGGACCACGCTTGCGTGGACACGTGGCTGGCAGGCTGACCCGTGTGCGGGGTAACCCGCGCACGGGGAAGCTTCACGGGTTCGAGTCGCCAAACATTAAG